TAAATCGACCGGGCGCCGGTGACTTTTCACTGATGTCTTGATCTAATCGTGAGTATGGTCACATTAGTACAGGCATCGCACGGGTATCGCAAGGCTATCGACCGATGGCCGTACGGGACCCGCCAGGACATCGGTCGATTTGCAGGGCTCTAGATTTATACTTAATCCCTGTATTACCCAGTATGACTGTTCCACATGGCGTGAATGCAACATTTGAAAACGAAATACTTTGATAAACAGGACTTCCAGGATAATAATGTTTTCATGCAATAAAAATCAGAAAAAGAAGATCCTCTTTTGAGTAAATAGGTTCAATATTTAGAAAAACTGTTGACATGGGGTCCCTATTCATATTCTTTCGAATTGTTTGATTGATTTTTTTATCATCATGGGTACTTCAATTGAAAGAAAACATATTGTTTTAATAAAAACACTCTATTTGTGCCCAGAAGGTACTCATGGTGAAAGATATGACCGTCTAAAATCACTTGCTATACTGGACGTGGTCTTTTCATCAAAGTGCACCCTGATCTTAATTCATTTTTAGATCTTTCATATAAAAAATACTATGTCTACCTGTCCATCCGATGCTATTAGCAAAATTCCCTATTTCTCCATCTTTCTTTCGTCTGTTCTTGTAAAGAGAATTAGTTTGGTCATAAAAATATGGACTCAAAGAAATTGGCATATTTCTTCTGTTTCAAGTGGAGTACCCGCTTCCCTATAGACACATCTAAATCTTCATCATCCATCAGCTCAGTAGCATTGTTATTGTCTTTTTCCACCTGTCTTCCCAAGGCCTTCCTCATATATGGCCCATTGGCCTTATCCCCTCTATCCTTAGCCTTTGGCATATTACGTTGTAATTGAGACGTAATTAATCGTAGTAAAATTGTGACCCTTGAAATTACTGTATTCACAAAAACATTCCGAAGGTTTTTAAAATAAATGATTTGTAATGGTATATGCATGAGTGAATATACGCATAAAAATGTAACACTCTATTTAATGTGTATGACAGACATACACGATTAATGTCAATATAAGAACGACTAGATCAACCCACCCACCCAGCCATTCAAATGTGTGCCATTGTTTTATATACAGTAAGCTTAATCGTTCCATTTATGTTTTATAAAAATCTCTGACAGTGTGTAGTAATTATAGTTCCTTACCTCATTATTTTTAAAACATTTATATCACTTTATAAGTAATCATTATTAAGATTTATCCAACAAATCAGCACGCAAAATCCAAAGATGACCGTGCGATGCCACCGGGCGCCGTAAGATAATCGTACGATGATCGGGCGGGACACGGCCGGGTAGGTACCGATGAGTTTGGTTGAGAAAAAATCGCCAAGACATCGGCAACTTTTATCTCCGCGATAAAACTCTGCCGGCGCCCGTACGATGTCTAAAAATCGGCCGATGAGTGGCGATCATCGCCCGGCGCCCGTACGATGCCCGGGCTCGCCGGCCGATTTTGAACAAAATACTCATCGGCCGGGCGCCGCAGTGAAAATCGGAGCCTATGTGACCAAGGCATATCGTGGGTTTATTTATTAATTCGTGTATTAACTTCTTAATTGGACGTCCTGGAAGGAAAAATAAAAAAAGTGTAAAAATCAGATGGTAACTGTACATGTAGGTCTATGTGTTTGCAAACACATTTGACAGCTATTATTTTGAGTCAGGATTTTTTGGCCCGGCACTCTGTATCGTTTTATGTATTATTTTGTTATAAAGGTAAGGTATTTGTTTTTTATTTCTTTCATAAATCTTGTATGGATAGTTATTAAGGAGGACTGGTTCGCAATTGGACGCAAGTTGATATTTCCTAACAATTAAAATGTTAGAATGTCGTTATTTTCTTACATTATAAACTGACTATAAATTCATAATCAAAAGCCGCCAAATGAATTGAAGCAATGTCTCGATCACTTCTCATGCTTTTTGGATTTTTTGGGAGAAATAAGACCAAAATTTGCGTTTGAAGTGAACAAAATGGCGGCTGTTTGAATTTAAATGTTGTCATCACTACATCTCCATATATCTCCCTCCCCCAATAAAAAAGAAAATTTATAAATTTTATTGAGAAAAACATTAGAAAATAATAGTTTGAAATGCTCAGGATGCACCGTATATAATGTACATTTTAAACAATTTCCGGTTGTGAGCTCCCGTACTCCTTTTTGAGCGACTTGCTTCGCTCGCAAACCCATGAAGAACCACTTGACTTGTTAGCTACACCCCTGTCATATATTGCAGAATATCGAGATGCAAGCCTGGAATCCAACCCTCCTATGCTAACTGCCCGGGTTTACTTGTGTGTTTTCACTGGAGAATCCATATCGTATAGTCTTATTACATGACCTGATGACATTACTTCAAAACAACTTCAATCCATTTGTCATTTGGAGTATTAAATACTGACCTTATTCATTGAGACATCCGGGTGACAATTCCCTAGTGAAAAATAAGCCATGTTTAACGATTGCTTTTGACAATGTTTGAAAATAGAGCTGTCTAAATAGGCAATCTTTGTTAACCGAACGAACAACTCTTACCGTGTGAAATGGCAAAGTCCTGAGCCTTGTCCAGTAAGACATCTAACTTTTCGGTTGCTAGGGGCAACGGAAGTACGGTTTCCATGGCGATCCCTTGTCCAATCATGTCCTAAGTGTATTGTAATATCAAGTTATCCACAACCGTATAAAGACTGGAATATTGGAGGCTGTTGTAATGAAATAATGAAAATCAAATGATTGCCATCAATAAGTAAATCCCTATTTCTCGGCTATATCTAATTACTATAGTTCATTTAGACGTTCCCAGTGGTCTGAATCCCCATTCATGTAGGAATTGCCCCAGAACGATATCAGGGGAGACCACTTAGTTTTTATGTGAATTAAAAAAATACCCTATATGGCCTACCATTACGTTGAAGATTTCGACAAACATATTTTGAAAATTTGATGAAAAGGCCATTCATCTCATTGCGGAATCAAAAAGTAATTTTATGATTGAAAGGAGTACTCAATGGATTTTTCTTGATAAGTATTAACAAAGGAGTAAACCATGAATGGTATTGTACTGTACAGTGTGTCCCAAAAAAAGTAAACCAGCAATAGATTGCTTATTTCTCAAATATGAATAATAATAGGAAAATTTCACATGCAGCTACCATCTGATAGGTTATGATGTCCTTTTTCTTATGATACCAAAGGTGTTTATTTTTTTAAGAGATTTAAGTGACCATGTCAGAAATTAGTTTGTGACACTTTTTCTGTCATGAATGGCTGAACAATGAGGGATTAAAATGCATACCTGCCAACCTACCGTATTTTTACGGGAATCTACCGTAAATTTTTCGTTTTTCCGTAAAAAATGACAAACTACCGTAAGAAAATGCCATTTTTCCCGTTAAAACGCCCGTAAATTTTTTTTTGAAAATCTACCGTATTTCTGCTAAAATCAACAGTATTTTTGTTCAAACTACCGTAAAATCTCCCGTTTTTGTTTGGAAATGCTTAAAATTGAAGTCTTTCACATTCCCCGTCCGGGAAAGTCCATGAAGTTCGTAAACAGACCGTAGAACGTTGTAGCTACGTTCATTCAGTTCGCACACAGTTTAAAACCGATTCGGCAACGTTTTGCAGAACTCAGTGACATGGTTCTGGTGTGATAGCTATTTTTGTTAATTCGTTCATAAGCAGTTTTTAATACGTTCATCTCGTCTTTATTCCGTCTGCATGGTTTAGATGGGGTTAAATTGTGCGTTCGTCTGGTCTACACAACGTAACCAAGCAGTTCAATTACGTCCTTAATCAGTTTAAACCAGTTGACAATTAGTTGTTCCTCGTTCTCAATACGTCCTAATATGTTACTAAATTATCCACCAAATTTCCATACGGTTGAACTCGTTCTAAAATAGTGAACATCGTGTCCCTAATCCGTGCAGAACGCATTTATTTTTATTCGGTCGAGTGTCTGTCTACGAACAGAATGAACGAGCTACAAACGGACTAGATTGGGGTACTCACGGCTGCAATTTACGCCTGACTACAAAACGTAATACGTCCCTAGTAGGATTGAAGTACGACACTTCCGTTCGTAGTGTGTCCCCAGTGCGTCCAGGTCGTCTTAAGTACGTTATCACTCGTGCTGATTGCAGAACGTGACGATCACCAGAAAATTTTGAGCATGCTCTAAGTTCTGGAGGACCTACTCATTCGAGTAGTTTCATGAAGTTTGTAACAGATCCCAAACGGTTCTTAGTGGGTTCTTAGTACGTCAAATCCGTTCGTGCACACTTTCAGCCCGTTTTCGAGAACGTAGTGAGAACTAGTTGGTGTGATAACAGGGTTAACATACTGTTTTATTCATTAGTTTTTTAGAAATCTACCGCAAAAACTACCGCATTTTTTCAAAATCTACCGTAAAGGTACCGCATCTTTTGCAAATCTTCCGCAAAAGTACCGGTTTTTCAAAAAATTACCGTAAAAACTACCGCATTTTTCGAAATCTACCGTACAACTACAGCATTTTTTCAAAATCTTCCTAAAAACTACCGGTTTTTCAAAAAACTACCGTAAAAACTACTGCATTTTTTCAAAATCTACCGTAAAACTACCGCATTTTTTCAGAATCTTCCGCAAAACTACAGATTTTTCAAAAAACTACCGCTTTTTAAAATTTCTACCGCAAAATTACACTTTTTTCAAAAATCTACCCCAAACCTAAGAAACTACAGTATTTTTTGAAAAACTACCGCAAAAACTACAGTTTTTTAAAAAATTTACCACAAAAACTACCATTTTTAAAATCTACCGCAAAAACTACCGTTTTTTAAATATACCGCAAAAACTACCGCATTTTTGTTGAAAAATACCGCAAAATCTGCCGCATTTGGAAAAATCTACCGCAAAAATACAGCAATTTAAAAAAATCAAACGCAAAAATTTTGGTCTTAGGTTGGCAGGTATGAAAATGGCTATGCAAGACCATGTCCTATTCGAAATACACATTTCTGAACAAGCATTCAAAATAGCAAGTTCATGCAGCTGACCCAAGATCAAAGAGTATTCGTAGTAAGTGAGTGGCTCAGAAGTGGGAACCTTCAGCAGGTTGCTGATCAGTTTAGAGTACGCTTCCCAGATAGAAATGTACCTGCTAAGTCGACAATCTGGGAGAATATCAAGAAGTATCAGAGAGAAGGAACAAGTCTCAATTTCTGAACAAGCATTCAACATAGCAAGTTCATGCAGCTGACCCAAGATCAAAGAGTATTCGTAGTAAGTGAGTGGCTCAGAAGTGGGAGCCTTCAGCAGGTTGCTGATCAGTTTAGAGTACGCTTCCCAGATAGAAATGTACCTGCTAAGTCGACAATCTGGAAGAATATCAAGAAGTATCAGAGAGAAGGAACAAGTCTCAATCTCAACAAGGGACGTTCTGGAAGAAGAAGAACAGCTCGGTCTGATGAAAACATCAGGATTGTTTAAGACCAGCTCGAAAGGAACCCCCACATCTCTACCAGAAGAAATGGTGTAGGAATTCCACACACTTCGTTTAGATGACATTAGATGGTACCCATACAAACCTCAAAGGCGTCACCAACTTCTTGATGCAGATCTACCAAGACGACTTCAGTTTTGCCGTTGGCTGATCGTCCAAAATCGCTTGTTTTTGGATAACTTGGTCATCGGGTATGAAGCCTCGTTTTTTATGAATGGGATAGTCAACACCCAAAATGTCAGAGAGTATGCACCACTGCATGAACCACCAGCCTTCAACTATGATGTTAACGTGTATAGAGAGAAAATCTCCCTTTGGATCGGGCTTTGTGGAAATGGGACACTCATCGGACTGTGTTTCTTCAATGGCAACCTTAACGGAGAAGATTACCTTAGAATGATCAACGATAGAGTGATTGCCTTGAACCACGAGATTGAGTGGCCACCGAGATCCCAAGACCTGACACTCTGCGACTTCTTCCTTTGGGGTTATCTCAATGGTAAAGTCTTCACAACACCACCAAGAGACGTTGATGATCCAAGGACCAGGATTGTCGCAGCAGTGGAGGATCTAAGGGGACCGAGAGACATCATCAGGGATGCAGTACGTGCGATGAGATCAAGGGCAGACATTTGCATTGAAAGGAATGGGGATCATGTTGAAGGACAGTGGGGTTAAAACAACTTTGAATGGACATTGGGATATAAAAGGGATGTTAAATATGATATGTGTAATTTTAATTGGAATAAATGAGTAAAAGAGTGATATCCTGATGTTTGTTGTTACTTATCACTTTGTTATGATGGTGAAATTGACTTGGCTGAAAGTGGTACAAACTCATTTCTGACATGGTCACTTAAATCCCTTATAACTCAGTCATCCGTGAAGAAAAATAGACAACTTTGGTATCTTAAGAAAGAGGACATCATGATCTATCAGATGGTAGCTGTGAAATTTTCCTATCATTATTCATATTTGAGAAATAAGCAATCTTTTGCTGGTTTCCTTTTTTGGGACACCCTGTATTGTAAAAAATGTAACAAAAATCCTGAAAAGAAATAAACATTCATTCAATTCCGCGTCAACACTAATGTGGATGGGAGGGGACGGATTTTCTCCCGTTCTTTGAGAAAGGGGTGATGGCAAACATTGACAGGACCCGGGTTTCCAACACCCGTTCTAATAGTTCTCGAAACCCGTACTAAAATAGCCTGGCAGCCAGTGCTACTTACTGAACGATACGACACGAGAACCCCGGGAAAACTTCCTATTCTGAGAGTATTTATTATTATAGAACCCTGTATGACCATGCTATCAGTTTGAATCTACCATTAACAGGCCCATAGCCAGGACCCTCTACCATTGTCAAATTATTTTCAACACCATGCAGTTTTTCACCATTTTGAGCAGTTTTTCAAGTGGTTTTGGTCATTTTTGGAATGCTGGATAAAACCCAGGGGATACATCATCCTCCAACTAATTTATCCTGCATCCCTTGACCCGTACTCGTGTACTAAAATAGTCTCGAAACCAGTGCTAAAGAGGCCCTACAATATTTTTGTCCCAACATATTTTTTCTAGGCCCATCCTAGAGCCGCGCGTAAAATATTTAGTGCCCTAAAACCAAAATCCAGGCGAAAATTTTGAAAATTTATGGCCCGTTTTTTGAAAATTTGGCATTTAATTAAAATAAAAAAGCCCAAAAAGGTCAATTAATGCCTAAAGTGGCCCACTAAAGAGGCCCTATTTTTTTCTAGGCCCATCCTATGGCCGCACGGAAACCCTTTAGGGCCCTAGAACCAAGATTTGGGCCTAAATTTGGAAGATTATTGCCCGTTTTTTGAAAAAATAAGGGTCAAGTAAAAAGATCAAGTAAAGGCCAACTAAAGAGGCCCTACAATATCTTTTGCCAAACGTTTTTTATCTGGGCCCATCCTAGGGCCGTGCGTAAAATTTTTTAGGGCCCTAAAACCGAATTTCGGGCCAAAGTGTTGAAAATTTATAGCCCGTTTTTTGAAAATTTGGCCTGAAATTGAAAAAATAAGGCCCAAAAGGGTCAAGTAATCCCAAAGAAAGGCCCACTAAAGAGGCCCTACAATATTTTTGGGCCTACATTTTTTCCAGGCCCATCCTAGGGGGGGGGCGGCCTCATGCCCCCCCCCCTGGAACCACCAGCAGGCTCTGTTTAGCAAAACATAAAGGAGGAATCCTAAAAAAAAGAGGGAAAGCGGCACAAATATGTCCGTGAAAAAAATTGGGCCAAATTTTGAAAAATAATGCCCAAATTCGAAAAACAATGCACAGTAATGCCAGTTTTTTAATCTTAATTGCCCAGTGAATGTGGGGAAGAGCAAGTTTTTCTTCAAGGAAGCAAAAAGGTATGTCCACATTTTTTTAGGAGATATCAGGGGGGGGCTCGGACGAGCCTCCAGAGCCCCCTGGCTACGGGCCTGGTAAACCACGGACATGAAACTTCCAGATGCATTTACTGCAATAACAGGGTGTTATAGTATCACGGTTACGTCAAGGCGATTTTCAAAATTTTGCGGTGACGATAACAAAAAATGGCGGATGGGAAAGGCAACATGTCCTCTTTCCCGCCTCCCTCTTCGATTTTCCCTTGGACAAAACACAACCTTGATATTGATTCCTTGACCTTACCTCGCTCTTAATATTTGTAATACAGTAGAACCTGTTTATCTGAACACCTGGCTAATCTGAACACCTTCCAATTTGAACACTTTTTTTCGGTCCCATTTTTTCCTCCCATTGACTCCCATGTTAAAAAAACTTAAATCTGAACACCGCCTAATTTGAACAGTGAACAACCAGATTTGGAAAAGTGACCTGTTTAATCTGAACATTTTTATCAGAAATCAAATGTCTGGACATTAGTCTCAGTGACATCCCTTATTTGTAGAATACAACAGGATGTTTAGGAAAGGTGTGAATACAGGAGTTAATTGGTTTATTCTATTAGAAAAGAACTGGATGTTTTATGTTTGGATTAAGAGAAAGGTGTGAATCAAGAAGATAATTGATTTATCATTATTAAGATGTTTTTGATTTGGATTAAAGGGTTCCAATAAGCATCCCGTATAAAAACAATATGGCGGCTCCAGGCGAATCAACTGGATCAGTCCATTTTTAAGAAATAAGGGGAGTTCTGTAAAATCCAGTTTATTGAAATTGTCTTTGAGATAAAGTGACCCGTTTATAATGATTTTGAAAACGTTATCCATAGAGTGATTGCGTTCAAACAGTACATGTGCAACAGCCAATATAAATCCTTGTATTAGAACTGCTTTGTTTCATTTGTAGGATATTTCATATGCCAAGCTGTGTGCTATTACGTTATGGGGAAATTTAGATGCCAATTTTTCCTTATTATACACAAATAGAAGATCCTGAAACTTCACCCATAAATTTGGAATTGATTTGTCAAAATAAAAATCACCCTTTTATAAATGTGTGACGATCTATAATATACTTATGCTATATAACAGCTAGAGGTGTTGACACAACGACATCGAACCTGTGAACCCTTGAGTATTATTCCGGGATCGGGCCTTTTATACTAAACGGTGAGCAACACCAGAAACGAGCGTTCGATTTGCTAAACGATATGCGTCACCCTTTAAGAGAAATGTGGGAATCTGGGAGATAATTGGTTTATCCTTATTGTAAATCAACTGGAAGCTTTTGATTTGGATTATGAACAGGTCTTAACTGTTTTATGGGTCTGTTATGATAGCCTAGATTCAATCAGTAAATGTTTTATAATCACAAAGACAACACAGACGACATTTGCAGACAAGATTATATCACGAGAAAGAAAAAATTCAACTTCGTAATACCCTATCACTAAAATGTCTCCTAAAAACGCATACATCTGACATCCTGAATGCCTTTGATATTTTGAAGGATTATACATCACCTCGAATGAACACTCATGAAAAATTCTTTTTACTTGAAGAGGATATCTACTCAAATATTGCTAATGCTAAATGTGCCAAGAAACAAACAACAATGAAGGACTTTTTCAAGCAAAAGTAAAGCAGTGCTATCACCCTACACATAGAGAGCACGCAATATTACTACGCTGGCTGCATTTGAAGAGACTATCTGGCTATTTCAAACATGGCTGAAGAGAGGTAAGTTTTCTTTCCAACATTTTGATTGTTTTTCAAGCTGTATACCAGCGATTATTGAATTTCTTAAAAGAATGATATTCAAAGTACCTATGTTTGACAGCTTACTATAAAACGCCGACCTATTGGCATGTGCTGCTGAGATAAAAACAAATTCCAAAAAACCGCCAAATTATTACCATTTATTTCTTCCTCTCGATCAACTGCTAAGCTACCAATTATCCAGGTAAGCTGACAATAGAACGATGATGACCCCATCCATGCATGTAATTAGATTCTATAATAGCCCGAGTTTGTTATAGTACAAGTCCTAAGTAGAACTCTGCCGAAAATTTAGGAGAGGACTACGGCGGGTGAGTATTTTATGATTCTAATGCATATTAAAATGTTTTCATTTTATTTCAGACTAGGATTCGAATGTTACTATTTCAACACAAACAGGAGATGTAAGGAATTTACAGATATGATTCATCACCTACTTGAAATACACCCAGATGATGAATTAAAGCTCAGAACAATTAGCAGGATCAATAACAATATAAGAATAACAACAAGAAATTTCTCCAGAATTATACCAAGTGCAGTGACAAACGCAAATAAAAGAATAATTATTGATAGCGATGAATATATGACAATAAGTGTAATTAATGAAAATAAAATGAAATGTTCAAAAATTCAAAATTCAACCCCAATGAAATCTCAATCGGATTTAATAACACATGAAATTCAATACAATGAAATGACAACTGAAACTGAATGCAGCAAATCCTCCAATGAATTTTCTTTCTTTAATATTTACTGCAGACAAATGATCATTTTTGTACATACATTATACAATTTACAGGCCTCTATTTAGGCCTACGTGAGTGTTTTATAGAATTTTATTTGTTTACAGTAATTCTCTACTTGCTTGTAAGCAAGACAATAATTATGTTAATCATTTTTATATTTGTAGAAATCTACAGTGGGGATAAATGTTATAAATATAGACTATGCTACCTATAAACATGTATATCTGT